CATATATTTTGATTCTAATGCGCTTAGTGGATCAAACAGACGAAGAAATAACACATTGTTTAAAAACTTACTCCTACCGTACAACTGGCCAATTGTCACACACGCACGCACCCGGCATATCTATATATCTATCTATCTATCTATCTATCTATCTATCTATATATATATATATATATATATATATATATATATATAGTTGGCCACTCGCATTTGAGGATACCCGTCTATTCAGGCGGCTATCCAATCCCTATTGCAGACGCTCGCAATAAAGAACCCCGCAAAACATTTGTGTTTGTTCAACCCACAGAGAGGCAACCTGTGGTTTATACTGCAACTATTCTGAGCAGACCACAGTTACAGTTTCTGGAAGAGAGCATGTTATCTAGTGTGATCAACAATCTGAACAAGGCCAGCACACTAAAACACTCGGTCACGATGACTTGTGAGTTCGTGCTAGCACAGCTATCCGTCTACCCAATTTCACTCACATACGTCTGTGCGCGCTTGCGCGTGTACAATATATATAATGTATAATTAGACAGTAACAGCTCATCCTAACGATTTTTGTTAAATTCAATCGACAAGGTCTGTTTAATGTCTTTGTCTCTCTAAATTTCGAATAATGTTGTAACCCGTGATAGTATTTGTGGATAAACTGTATGAATTTCATGTTTGTTTCATCTTGTTTAAGTAATTTCGAGCGTCTCAGTCATTATCAAGAGCTAAGTGTTGTCAGTTTAGCAGACAATATTTTATTGGCTAAATCCTGGCATTTTTACAGCGCTGAAATTCACAGTAATCGAATCGTGTCTATGAAACTGGCAACAATCAGTTCTTGATAATGACTGAGACGCTATGAACACAATCTAAGAATCGTCAGTTACATAACAGCAGAAATGGGTAAGTAATAAAGGTCGAATGTGTCATACAAGAGAAATAATATTAGCTGTGTATGTAAGAGAAGATTTAGAAAAAAGGGAAAGCCAAAAGGTTACTTATATTTAACATCAGGAAGAGAGAGTAAAAATTCTAGAGCAGATAATGAGGAAAGAGAGCTGGGAAAATTTGATATTCGCAGGGCAGCCTGAAGGCAAGAGGGACAGAGGAAAACAACGTACAACCTACATAGCGAGCTTGAGTAAAATGATAACAAATTTTAGAGGCGATAAGGAAAAGACACAATTTAGTAAGAGTTACAAAGAACAAGAGAATTGTGGTGAGCCATGATTGCGAACGCCCTTGACAGAATATGGAACATGGAAGAATTAGAAGACAGTAGTTATGTAGCGAGCTGCTTACGAGTCGAGATAGTTTCGTACTCCTCCACTATCAAAGTTTTTTTTTTGTTTGAGCCCAGCTACGTTTTTGGCAGTTAACCGCTTTTTATTCTAAATATTTGGGCGACTCAATTTTCCTATTCATAAACCTTTTGTGCTACGTGCAATTGTCCGGATTGAAAGTTCACATTTTTGCCTTTTAATCAGAAGAGTATTTACAACTTTTACTCGCAATGTTTGAACCGTCGTGGCCGCCAGCATTCTTACGGGTGATACTCGGTTAGCTTTTTGCGAACTTTGAACCGAAATATTTATGAATCCTTCTACAGGGTTAAACATTTCTCTTTCCATTTTCCACGCGTAAATTGTCAGTTTCTCTCACTGAACCAGAGTATAAGACTTTTCCCAACTACCCGACACAAGAATTGAACTCACTACTAAGTTTTAACAATTACTTTAATCCACTAGGCCATGCTTCTCCTGCATAAATTTAAAATTATTTTACTTTTAAATGTTCAACTTGTTGAACCGTGTCAGGCTCATCTTAGCTAAGTAAATATTTTATCTTTCCAGTAAAATTTTGAAAAATGTAACCAGTAGACGCTTATGATTTCATAAGATTTTTAATGTTTAGTGAATTGTAACTTAAATCTTAAATTTACCTCATAAAATGCAAAATTCAAAGAGATTCTTGTTTTAGATGAACTTATGTAGGTGTTTTTAGTTGAGACCTGACTGTTTTGTTACTGCACTAGGTTGTAACTGTTGAAATGTCGGATTTAAGATATACATATATGATTTCAAAATACAATGTAGCTATTCTATTGACGGTCACGACATTTTAGACATTCAGTTCTTCAGAAATTTATTTCTACCTCTGCAAATATGTTTTTGATGGACATCAATCATCTTATTTGTGTTTAAATTGGAACAAAAGGAAACAAAGAAACATCAATTGGATATTTACGGAAAGAACTGATCGGAGGCAACCAATAAAATATTGATTTGTGAATTGTTACTCCGTTGATGTTAATATTCAGTGTGCATCAAGAAAGATCGACACATTCACTGAGAAATAAAATAATAAATAAATAAGAATTGTTAATCTTTTATAAAGCTTGACATTTCGATGTTTCATTGATGTTTTTGATTGCCATTTGGATTCGAAAGGAAAGCATTTTGACCGATAGACTCTGATGACTTGACAAAAAATCAGAAACCGCGTCACTTTAAGGTCAAATTCTTTCATTACAATAACATCTCACTTCTAAAATGTTATATTTAATTGACAAGTGGATCATTTGAAATAATGGCAAATATTTTTTAATAAAAAAAGTCTGCTGACTGTTCTTAAAACTGTTCTATTTTTTCAAAGATTTCACTTAAGTGGAAGAACTCTAGTGCAGCTGTAACGGGACGGATGTCGCTAAGTGGAAAAAATTACAAAATGTTTTTTCTATTGAAAATATAGAGTTTTTCTCGATATTTGTCAGGAATTTAATGTAAGTACAAACTAATATATAAGTAATATATTGTAACAATAAAGTCATTATGTATGTATCAGATGGAAAAATTGTTCGCATGATCTTTGTGTCGATTCGCTCGGTTTCTAAACTTACAAAATAAATTATTTCATCAAAAACATGAATACGTATTTAGGACGTGTCTTTACAAATCCTCTTCGTGATAAAATGAGCGTTTTTTTTTCTAAACATTTAAAAAAGCCAATTGTCCTTCTGTCCTTTCACTAACTACATCAGTTCAAAAGGCATTTAGGTCAGGCATTTTTCATAAAATGGGTAAAAAGGTTTGAACATGTGTGTATGCCTGTTTGAGAAGAAACATTTTCAATCATAACGTCTTCATTGATCCCATGGGGAAAATTTTTAGAATTCAATAAATTTACAGCTGTTGGTTTTGTGGTAGTGTTTTTTTTTTCTATTCAGAATTTATATCAACGTTCAATACAATGGTAACAATTATATAATAACGGAAAAGTTTTAATGATATTCTTAATTTTATGATTTTAATTCGTAGAGTGTATATTATTATTCAATAATATTCACCGAAATATAAATACAGATGGATAGATATAGAACAATATAGAAAAATCGATGAAAGGATAGACAAAATAAGGTGGGTATTGTATAGTGTCATGCTTTCACGCTTACGAAAGGGTTGCCGAAAAATGCTTGGTTTAGTCATAAAGAGATTAAAAGTTCTGATGATTAGTCATTTACTAAGATTTTGGGAAAGGAATCAGGCCAAAAACCTTTCAACGTTCTTTAGTGTATGATGCTGGAGTTTATTTTGATAATCGATATATTAACTGTAAATCGACCAATGTTGTTAAGACTTGCAGGAAATACATTTATATGTGCATGAGAGCATGTGAGTTATATGTGCATGAGAGCATGTGAGTTATATGTGCATGAGAGCATGTGAGTTTCTCATTATAATATCTTTCTCTATTAAAATTATTGATAATAATTTGGTTTGGGAGTTTCAGATTTCATAATACAAATAAACGAACTGGAACTTAATTTTTTTATTTTCATTAAATCCTGAAGACACACACCAAAAACAAATGCATATTACGAACTGAATATACCGAATCAATTATGATTTGATTATCCCACAAATTAAGATAGGTTTCTTGACATTCTAGAATCATTCTTTTATTCATTGGCTTTGATAAATTTACTCTTATGTCAAGCTCAACATAATATTTCCTAGAAGCATTCGAATCTCAGATTCAATCAAGAAAGCGCACATTTTCTATTGAATTAATGTCTAGAGACATTAGAGATAATGGCATTAATTTGATGTCTTAAACTTTCTCTCAAAAGGTGCGCAAATGCAAGCGTTACAAAATGTGAAGGAGCATCGTCACTTGCATTATTGACCGTCACACTAATGTCCTCATTATTGTTGTTACGATCGTAATATATTGGCCATTGTGTCCGAGTACATTATTTAGGTGTCAGTCGATTAGGGTAACCTTCAGGGAATTTCAAGTAGAGTAGATTGTGCTCATGCACCTGTTAATATCATGATGGTGTCTCATACTAGTTAATTTTTCAGTTATTCCTCGTTCAATTTCTATTTAGTCTAACTTAGTACGCGGTCCATGGATTTAAAGTCATAATATTTATGCCAAAACAATATTTTAATCTTCTTGGATATTGCCACTTCAGACAATGCTTAAGCTAGAATTTGAAGTCCTAAATGTAACGTTCTTCTTGCTTCCTCGGTTTCTGCAGTGGACTAACTGTCGAACATGACTATCATCTCTGGCAGTTTTCATTCTTTTGTTTCTTTTTCACATAATAGTGTTTTTGACATACTCCACTTTTATTACGATGCTACGTCTGAGGAATTATGTTTTTTTTCTTCTTAATTGATGTTTTTCATACTGTATTGTCAGTCTAGCACATTTCAGTGATCCCTTCAGATGTCTGATTCTTCATATTATTCTCTGTATAGTATTTTTACTTTATTCCATAGCAATTTTTCATCTATATATATTGCCTCACTCTACTTAAGGGATTTTTGATATTTCTCCACCAGCCGATAACATAAAAGTAAGGCTGGATGTTTCTTTTCCGTCTTGATTTCAAGGGTTGATATCTGCAGGTTCTTCGTCGTCATCTTCTCTGTGTTCGACTTTGCAAGACAAAAATGGCATCTTAAGACTAAGCTTCTGAATATTGATATGTTATTTTAGGGACCATAGATCTTTTGAATCCTTTCCGACATGCCCTTGATGTACAGTGGGAGAGAGAGAGTGGTGAAAGAGAGAGAAAGAGAGAGATGGAGGGAGAAAGTCAGAGGTGAGAGAGGGAGAAAGTGAGAGGAGAGAGAGAAAAGCAGAAAGTGTGAGAGAGGAAGAGAAAGAGAAAGAGAAAGAAAGAGAGAGAGAGAGAGGAGAGTGAGAAATGGGTGAGAGAGAGAGAAGAGAGAGAAGAGGGAGGGGAGAGAAAAAGAACGAGAGAGAGAGAGAAAGATAGGGAGAAGAAAGAAGTGAGAGAGAGCGAAAAACAATGGAGAGATAGAAAAAGGAAGAAGGAGAGAGATAGAGAGAGGAGATGGAGAAGTGAAAGAGAGGGGGAAACACATGTAGAGAGAGAGAGAGAGAGAGAGGGGTGTTTTTCTCTGATCTTCCTGTTAAATCATTCTTTCTCAGCCGTCAGAATCTGATGTTATGCGTGTTGAATAGTTGATACTCGGGATATGTTTAATGATGATCATCGCCTATTTGTGTCTGGGAAGACAACATTTTTCATGATGTCTAAGCATCGGGCGGTCTATTTTTCATTTCGTATGTATACAGGGAGTTGAAATTAAGTTCGTGTTCGATGATAGTTGGTTTGTGACTTAATGGATACCACAAATCCATTCTCTATGCGACATTATTACGACATCCACAAAGACCCCCCAATATTTGGTTTACATTTTCATTTTCCTTTAGGAACTTTGTGAGTTCACAGACCCCAGTCGTATTTGCATATCAACCCAGTGAGCATGAACCTGACATCTATTTATCTCAGAGAAATGGTATTGTTCCTGAAGCCATTTCCTCGAATTATTCCATGTATATATTCATCATCACTAGAGATATCGGCAAATCTATAGTCAAACCTTCTTCCTTCTGATATATGTCGATTCCCAGTTAGAAGAATGTTTTCTGCACATAGAATGTAAACATTTCCATGAGGTTAGATTTTAGCATGTTAGTGCTTTCCTCAAAGGAGGGGTCCCATTCCAATGTTTTCGAATTTGCTACAGAGCCTAATCTACTGGAATACTGCTGATAAATCTCACAACCAAACTTATTAACTGATTTTATGGTTGGGCATATTTCGTATTGATTCCATGAAATGACTTCCTTTCTTAACGTAAGACGAGAATATTAATGCTACTTAGTTGACTATAACTATCTGAAATCTGTTTAGTTTGGCAACATGCCAAGCCCCTACACCTATGTTGCCAACTCTGTGAATCTTGGGAAAAACCGTACATATGTCACCATTTAGCGTAATGCCGTGTCAGTTGTCTATATTTAATTGTTGAGAAGCAGACCTTGTCCTTATTTAGAGTTTGTGATAGTTTCTTGTCTGTTTTAAGATTAGAATACTTTTCAACTTGCAGTAACTACCATCATCAACTAGAATTTCCAATTTCCCTGAGAATTCGAAACTGCCCATCACCTGTGTGGCGTTGCCATCGGAAATATTACGGTAGTGTAGCCACTTAGAAATTTTATGTCTAAATTTTTCTTCCCATGCAATGTTTGATTTGCGATGTTTGTCCTTTTCTAGTAGTTTGTTTTACTTTCCATTTTAACGCATCTTTTTGGACCTGAAGGATCTTCAAGGCAGCCTTTTCAAATGAAGCATGGGACTCGTTGGATGATTGTAGAGAAGTTGAGACCCTTGTTTAACATACTATCCTGTGATACCGGAATTTACGGATATATTGAGTTCCAATGGAAGTATGAACAAGCAATAAGGGAACAAGACGAGATATCCCTTTCAACATGGATAGATGAATGAGAAATATTTACCACATAAGTTGGATTAAATGGTTCATTTCAAAATTCCTTGTAGGTTAACAAATGAATACAAATTCTGAGACGTTATGATCAAATAAAAGAGTCTAGCTTAACTGTAAATAATAAAAATAGTGAAGTATCATTGTCTTGCACTGATATACTCATTAGATTAAAGCTTCTTCCCTTTTGGCCTGGACCATATAAAAAAGATATTTCCAAATTACTTGCAATAATGATTTGTATTTATTGTCATCATCGTCTTCAAATAGATTGGCCTAATAGTTTACTTCACTTTGCATCTGTACATTTTCTAAAGACTGATGACTGACTGTTTAAATGAAACACGAAAATTCTATCTCAATTATTGGATCCTTTTAATGTCGCTAGAGATTCCTAAAGAAAAATTATTACTGAGATATATTTATTTTATTATCCAAATTTCATGTTTCTTTTTACGATGTTTACTTAAGGGTGTTAGTTGGATGGCTTTAATATACGTTCATAATATTATGCATCATTTTGCTGCTTAAATTCGCTACATCAGCTTCTTCAGGTATTTTCTTGGTCCTTAATTCAATTTTCTTGTAGATTTTTCTATTATGTGTCGTGTTCCTCCAGGACCCAAGAGGTCATACCTATCTACAAGTTCCTATTCTTTTTATCCCTTAGCAATGTTTGTCTTTTACTGTCCCCCACTTCCTCTTTTACAATTTATTTACACATACTATACTTATTAGAAAGGTTATAACTTTTCTATGTTATTCATGGTTTTAATACGTCTTGTGAGTATCCAATTTTCCTGGCCTTCTTTTCTCATTATGTGCCACAGAAATTTCAAGTGTCTCTTTTTGATTTCATGCATAATTGTACTTTTCGTTTCCATTTAACTTAAAATATAAAGCCCATTTAATTTTTCTTTGTTATCATTGTGAGAAATTCTTAAATTCATTTCTTGTCAAGGTTTTCAATTTCTTCTTTCATTATGATCTGATCTCTGTTTTACTTTATTGAATTTTCCCCTCACTAATTTAAAGTTCAATATTTTGTTTCTCTTCTGATGTTATATCTTTCTTACAACCCATGGCAATCTTTGTAAGTCTGAAATGAAAAATAAATACCAATAAATATGCCATCTCAGACATTAAATAAAAATAAAATAACAAGCCTCGAATTGTATTATAAAATCTCACATTCCAAAATATGATCTTCTAAGAAAAATGTTTGTCATTCATGTGATATATATATATATATATATATATATATATATATATATATATATATATATATATATATATATATATATATATATTCGTATTCATACAAATTTTCATTTATTCCCAACTAATGAATAAACATACTTTTTATATAATTGGTTTCCGTGAAAACAGAAATAAATCTCATTTATCCATTTTAATGAATGTAAAAATATTTGTACAATACAAAAAAGAATATATAATCTTTATTTAATACTCTGTAGAATAGACATTATTCACTTCTACGACAACCGATCTCTTCTTGTAGTTCACAATAATTTGCAAATTTTATTTGAAATTTTGTTCCATTATTCTTTGCATATAGTATTCAGAACCGGGATGTTTTTTGGATTTTGAATTGTCAAATAACGCCACAGATTCTTGATTACGTTTAAATCTGAACATTTCAGGATATTTATATTATTTTCAGCGAGTCATTCTTTGTAGATTTTTAGTGTGTTTAGGATCATTATCTTGTTAGAAGATCTAATCAAGACGAAGTTCAAGATTTTCATCCAAAATCATTAATTTTGCTTCCAAATTATTTAGATGTGCTGCATCATTCATTCTATCATCTATTACTGATATGTTGTCAGTACCTTTTGCAGAAAAACAACACCAAAAATGATGCAGCCACTACCAAATTTTAATACTGGAACTGTTTATTTTTGTTTGAAGACATCGCCATCTTTGCTTCATATACGATTTCTAGAATTGCATCCAAACAACTCAAGTTTTGTTTCGCCTGTCCATAATATTCTTTCCCAATACGATTTTTCCTTATCCTTATGTTCATGAACGAATTTCAACCTAGCATCTCTGTGCCTTTTCAGTAATAATGGAGTTTTCCGAGGGGAGCGTGACTTTAGATTGTTCCTCTGAATTTCATTGCTTATTTTCCCTTTAGTGACACAGATTCCTGATGAAAGCAAATCATGCTGCAACTCTTGTCGAGTAACCATTAGATTTCGCTTAATTTGGTGCATTAATTTCCTCGAAGATCTTGCAGAAATCTTCCTTGGAGCACCTGTTCTTCTTTGGTTTAGAACAGTCCTGAGTTTTTTTTTATACCTCGCAATGAATGAACTAATTGTTGTCGATGGAATGTTCAGTTTGTCTGAATATTTTCCTGTAACTTTTATCTTCTTTCCAGAGCACAATAAACAGTTCTTTTTGCGAGTTTGCCAATTCTTTGCCTCTTCCCATGATGAAAACTGTCTTGCACAAATAGCAATTAAAGAATATTCTATTTGTATTTTTAGGCGAAAAATAACTTGTGATAACATTACAGGAATATTCTAGAATATTCCACTTGAATAATTTAAAGTATTAAAGCAATTTAAAGTTTTAAAATCTGCATTATACGAATTAAAATGGATAAATGCGATTTATTCCTGTTAAATCAAAATTGCTCTGTTTTTTATGCATAGTTAGTTATTATACATCCGTGTTCAGTTAATTATATGAAAAGTGTTTATTCATTAGCTGGAAATACAATAAAATAAAAAAAATTGTATGTGTAAGAATATTTCTCTCTCTCTCTCTCTCTCTCTCTCTCTATATATATATATATATATATATATATATATATATATATATATATGATAGCTGGAAGTTATACCAACATTGTTTAATAACCGTTTTATTGGGGAAATATAACATCTAGAAATTTGACATACAACAAACGGATGGAGCAAATTTCATATAAGGGCAGCCTTATCGTCCGATGGATCCGTATAACTTATTGATACTAATTTAGGCATACTTCGACACAAGGAAAAAGGGACTCCGAAATCATTCAAGGATGGAAAGATCCGTTTAAAAATAATTGCTTTTTGAGAAATTAATCAAAATAGAAAAGAAAAATAATTTTTCTTTGTTTCATATATTATTTTGCCAATCAGTTTATCGATACGATTACATCACTTTGACTTTTCCCAGCTAATGAAATAGAAAAAGAAACATGAAGTTATTTGTTGTGATACATAGAATAAAACAATTCCCACTGGAGAAATTAATTTGTTTCAAGTCTCGATATTGAAATAACAAAAGAAAGATACACGATCGAATGATTCAAGAAATTGATTTTATAAATGTAATTCAAAAATTAAAAAAGATTTTAACGTGATTATATTTGATTGAATTAAAAAAGAATATGTCTTAGAAACACGAAATCCCCCTCAAAAAAACAAAAACAAAACAAAACCAAAAAACCAAAAAAAAAAAAAAACCCAAAACAAAACAAAAACAGTAAATATATTGAAATCCTTTAAGTCCTTGAGATATAATCAACAGAGCAAATGAAACAATTTCTTAAAGACTAAACTTTTAATGCCAAGGACAATTTAACTAGCGAAAATATTTAATCATAAGATGTTTTTATTCCCAGAATTCAGAAACTTTTCTTATCTGAGTGAATTGTGATCAAACGCAACATTAATTTCCCTGAGGTACGAACGTCTTTAAATTCATCGGAGTACATATGGTATATTGGGCCTATCGCGACGAGGTTGGGTCATTTATTGGACGATAGACAGCTTCCTTGGTCTTAGAAATTTCCTTGGTCTTAGAAAATTCCTTAAAAATTAAAATTATTCTAATTTTAACTGAGTGTATATATATATATATATATATATATATATATATATATATATATATATATATATATATATATATATAGTAGTGTGTGTGTACAATATGAAAAAAATAATTATTTAATTGAAATATAATACCAATATGTAGATGTTCCTTGAAAAATATTCTTAAAGCACTGTATTAAGAAAAAACAGTGTTTTAAGAATACTTTTTGCAGATGGCATAGTGGAGATGACAGACACCGAAAGAAAACTGCATGGAATCCTACAAAATGTGAAGGAAAGCGAGAAGAAAGGAATAAACATAAATTGCCAGAAGGTACATTGCACGGTTGTTAGTAAAAGAGACAGCCCAACATGCAATTTACTAGTTAGTGAGACCAAAATTAAGCAAGTACAGAAATTTAAATCTCTGGGAAGTGTTTTAACAGAGGACGTAAAGTGGGACACTGTAATCCGAAGGTGCATCGAGTTGGCGAAAGTTATCTTCCAAATACTAAGCAAAGTATTAAGAAATTGGAAAAGTTTTAGAGAAAATGGAAAGAAAACAAATATTTCTAAACAAGAGAAAGAGACTGATTGAACTTTCTTTTATCCCGTTTGGCAGATGGCCGAGTCATCTGTAGATATCTTCCGATTTAGATTCCAACAGTTTGGCTGACCTGGATAGAAAGGGCACAGGATTAAAGTTATGATTCCTTTTAAATTATGTCATGGCTCATCTTGGCAGCCGATATTTAGGAGATAGGTTCTATGTCTGTTTGAAAGGAAATATTGGTTGGTTGGTTCCAAAGGAGACAAACACGTTTTGTTTTATTTAAATCTGGGACCAATAATAATTTGGCTTGTAATTTTGATCATAGAATCTGCGTGCGAATTTTACAGGACGAACAGAGTGTAAGCTATTTGCATTAAGATTTATCTTTGTAGATATTCCTGATCCATATTCTGATTAGTTTGAAAAGCAATGTTGTCTTTCACTGACACATTTTCATATATATATATATATATATATATATACATACAGAGAGAGAGAGGGAGAGAGAGAAAAGGAAAGAAGAAATATATAAATGTATATTTGTGCATATGTATGTAGATCGATATATCGATCGATCGATAGATAGAGAGAGGGAGAGAGAGAGAGGGGGAGAGAGAGAGGGAGAGAGAGAGGGAGAGAGAGAGAGGTGTACGTTTTTTCCTGTTAAAATGTCAATCCCGAATCCAAGAAAAGCAAAATTCACGTGCATCTATAAATCTTGTTTTCCATTTTTGTTATTTCACAAGATGGCAATAATGATTAATTACTGTTGGTTGATTATTTACCACTGAACACTCTGTATTAATTTACCGTGGGAAAAACTAATTCATGTTCCCTGAAAAAAAGGCTTCGTTTTAGAAAATTCAAATACCCGCTGTGTTAAATTATTCTGATTCTATCAAATGATTTGCATCCGCATCATTAACACAAATAACTACAGCGTTTCCAAGGGAAATTGTTCGGCAATGTGTCAACCGTATGTATCTCCTTTGAAGATCTGAACCAGAGAATCTTTCTCGGAATATAACAATCAGACCATTTAACTCTTTGCTATGTTTATTTGAATTTACTAAAATACTAAAAATCGTAATTGAAATTATTTGAAATCATTATTTGAATTGGATCGTAAAATAATCGATCAGAAAACTTGAAGCTTTTCAGGCTTAATTCCAAATTAGCAAAAATAGAAAGGAAATCACAAAAACCCTTACAAAAGTTAGGGATTTAAAAGGAGAAGAGGGTAAGACTAAAATTCAAATGCAAGAAGAGTGAATGCATTGGCTGTAAGCTAAAGGAACAGGCAAATTACAAATTATTATCTGCGAAGCTTTTTAACAGAGAACGGAAAGTGCGACTCTGAAATCTGAAGTTGGATTGGTATAGCGAAAGATATCTTCAACAAGATAAGAATACTGAAATGTTATGTAATATCAGTCTTTCTATATGGCAGTGGATGCTGGATCATCTCTGCGCAGATGAAGAATTCTTGAGGTAAAAGAAATGTCATTCTAAAGAAGGATGCTGAGAATAACAATGACTGAACATGTGAGCAACGACAAAGTATTAGAGAAAAGAGGAACGAAAATTGTATTTAACGTCAGAAAGAGACAGTTGAAATTTCTACGGCATATGATGAAGAAAGAGGACTTGAAAAATTTGATACTCACAGGACAGAATGAAGGGAAAAATGAGACAACACAAGTCAAAACTTATTATTAATTATAATGACCAGGAAATTATCGAAGGCCATGATCACCAACATCCTGAACAATTTTTGCCTCTATTTGACTTTGACTCTTACTAAATCGGCAACAAATATTAATAACATGATGGGTATTGGAAATTGATTTATGAACTAATTACTTGGCATTTGCATTTCATCATTTCTACAAATGAAAGCTAAACTCTACAGAACATGTACAGTGATTAAACTTTTATTTATAAAATACATTTATAGATATTTATTAAAATCTCTAGTGTAATATTTGCGTTTAATTTAAAGAGTAAGGAATAGAGTAATGTGTTTTTATTGTAATTGCATTATCTCAAATTCTAACGATAAATTTTTTGAACATTATGATAAAAGTAAAAAACGTTTACATTATATAACTTTCGCAACGGGATTTAAAATTGGTGAACTTTGTAGGTTTAAAATCAAAATTTGTTGTCAATTCCTGGTGGAAAGCCGGCTTTAAACTACTTTGGCGTAAACTAGATTTTTCTTTTCGTATTAGTGCAGAAAAACGTACATGAACAAATAGAGTGAAGCAAGAAGCCTAGACGAGGCCTGGCTCAGGCTTTGTAAAGCCAGAAGTTGGACATTATTTTGATGGAAGATTATCAATGAAGAAAAATATAATTTCGAAAACAAAGTGTTTTTATTGAAATCTTTTGCGTTCACACACACATCAATATACACACATATTCATTCAAAAACACAGATATATGTTAGGATACGAACATATCAAAAACTATACTAATGCACACAAATACATAAGCACATACATTCTTACAGACATGAGCAGATTATAAGGTACGTGCTCATGAACATATATATTTATTCAATGTAATTTTTTTCCACTTTGAAATCTTTTTGCAACAAAAGAGTTGAATGTCTTATTCTATCGATTTATACGAGATCCAATCTTGTAATATGATTATGGCGTTTATTTCCAATTAAAAAAGAGTGCGCCTTGAATATGTCAGAATACAAACACTGTCGACCCAGATTGTAAAGAAAAAAAGCTACTTGACATAAAATATTTATTTTACACAAAGAAAAGTGAGATGAAAAAGGATAAAACGAACCAGATATTGATTTTGCATTAGCATTAAATCCTGAATTCTGTTGTCGAATACAGAAATTGCCCAAAGAAATATGCTTACGTCTGTACAGATATAATCGCACTGACCTAAATATGCTCCCAAATCGCTCAGGATGAAACATCCGGGTAACTGAACTGGATTAGTGTAAATAATCCTTATTCATAGATCTATACGATCATAGATTCCAATATAAGCGTCTATCAATTGTATTTAGACTTCATAATAATACACAGTGTATCCTTATATATGGTCGTAATCTCGTATGCGTACCATCGTAGATATAGCGAATATCATTCTACGATTTATTATTCCACTTGTTTCGCACAGGTTGACTCGAGATTTATTGCTCGAAAATACAGCACTTGTGGCAAATGATTTTCCAAGCGTAGCTTAGATGTGTCACAAGGCTGAAAGTATGGTGCACTCAGTGAGGATCGAACTCACTATTCAGTTGTAATTGTTCTAACGAGACAAGCTTGCTAACCATTACACTACGTCGAGGTTCCTTTAACACAGGTTGACTCACTATGATATTTTTTTATAGTACACTAAATAAATGAGTCACAGGCTTCATCTTATCATGTTCCATGTCTGGGAATCGTGCAAACCATTTGTTGAGCTTGTTGAGTAGCATGGACATCAGTTGGGCGGTCATTCTGCTGCTGGAATATTATTAAATTCTTATTGTAGGAAAAGTTTTAGAAGAGGTTGAAGAGAGTTTAGCATGTTCATAACTCTATTTAACATTCTTCTCACTAAGACGAATAATAAGTCACACGTGTACCCTATCGTTTGGAGATTCCTCGTAGGTATAATCAATTAACTATATAACGAATACTTCTTCTTTTGTGGAGACTTATCAAAGAAACGCCCATTCATACAAACCGGATGGTGAGATTGGATATTGTGAGGTTATTCACCAAGTTACCCACTGATGAGATTCTGTTGGTCATTTTATACATCTAACTCATGAAATTCGAGCGAGAAAAAAAAAATAACAATTGGACTTTTAATCTAATTGATCCCAGGCAAAAAGTACATTATTTTGGGCAAATACTACAAGAAAACTTTATATTTTATTTTCTTTTAAATAATATAAAATATAATTTGTGAAGACCGAGTCTAAAATTTTACTCATATAAAACGACGTTCCTAAAAGACAGTCAGTCCCTCTTTTAGCTAAAGCTTTTGTTTACACGGAAATTTGATTTATTACCTTTTATTCTTATTTATTTATCATTTTAAAAACATGAAAATTAGGAAAACAATTTTGCTTTCAATTCCGGAAACGTTTTCATCGATTTCTTTTTTATTTGATTTTGACGTAAGAATAAAAAACTCAGGAGTGAAATAAAAGAAAATTTTTGTAGAACTGCGAATCTAAACCACGGCAAAGAGACAATAAGGAAAGAAAAGAATAACGTGACAGGATATGTGTATTCAGTGTTAATAGATAAAAATCATATTTGCCACTAAAGATGTGCCTTGAGAAATCGTTTGAAAATGAGCAAGTGAATATATTAAGGCAGACATATTGAACAGCCTCAAGGAAGGAAATGAAACAATGATCACGCTCTTGTTAGCATGATTTCCTTTCCATTTCTCATAATCGACATTTTCTTCTCTACTTTTCGAACACAGAGACAGAAATCGATAAATGCGAGTGTCTAGCTGATAGGGGAACGTTGCATAAATCGAGTCACATTAAATATACGGGTAGAAAAAATAAACACTTTGATAACCAAAAAGAATAGTTTATGGATTAAGAACTTGTGATGCGTTTCAGTTTTGACTCCCATATTCACTGCATAATTGCTTTTGAAGTGGATAGAAATCACTTCTGTTTTATTTTGAACGCTTATCTGCAATATGAACCGGAACCGGAACCACTTTTATGACAAACGTTTCCTGACTATAATGACTACTACTTTTACTACTACTACTTTTACTACTACTACTTTTACTACTACTACTTTTTGCCAGTAGTTTTGTGGATTAAAAAGTCATGAATAAATTCACACTTTCTATATTTATTATTTCCACTTATGTTAGAATTTAAACTTTTAATGTGTTTCTTTTGATTTCTTTCTTGAAGCAAATATAAAATCGTCTCCAGGTGTTTCAAGATGAAAAGAAGATCATTGTCACGGTCATATTTGAAATCTTTCTGACCTCATCGCAAAGGTTTGGGTCTGTTTTTATTACTAATAATCTTCTGTCTATTTGAATAATCATTTAAAACTCAACACGGTCACAGACAATCCGTAATAATCCGTTTGAAGTAAAAACAACAAATAATGGATTAAATGGATTATTCTTGCCATATCCGGTAAGGCTGTTCTATCTTTACTTTGCAGTTTTCATAAAAATCTTTTACGTTGTGTCTTGTTGAAGAAGACTTAGTTTTCCCTCTGCAGCATCTTTGCTGCTGACACATTGTTACAAGCCTATCGCTACTATCGTTATTTCCATAACATGTGTTCAGATGAGCGCTCCATTCAGTTCAGACATTTACAGCTAGGACACACCGTGCCACTCTCACGGAGTCGAAGCACCCATAGTAAGAAGGTAAGAGGAAAGTTTCACAAAGACATTTTTCCCAACAACTGTTAATTTTGTAGAACACACTTCCGCATGAGTACTTCCCTCATCACAACAGGCATAACCTTTTCAATTCAAAAGTTATTCGTTACCTATGATCGTTCAGGAACGGATTTATGATCGATTCATAGTAGCGAATGTGTCACAAGGCACACTATTAGACGATTCCAAAATTATAATCCTTATGTCCACTAAATACTTTGTTAAATTATGCAAAGACTTTATCATACAGAGGAAATCATGTTGCGTGAGAAAAAACTCCCACACGTGCGTAGGGCATCG